ACGGTCATATAGTCGGTCGACCGGAAATTTCCGTCGGTCGACCGGAAGACCGGTGCGGTCGACCGATGGAGCTTTCGGTCGACCGGACCGGTCGACCGACAGACTCTCTGTCGCATGGTAAGAAATGAACAAATGATCGATCGACTGGTGCGGTCGACCGAAAACTGATATTCCAGGTTCTGAAAACTATTTATCTGATTTTAAAACGCTGTTTAAAAATATCAAATAAATTCCAAAAAATGTAAAACTTTGGGAAATAATTATAGACATGATAATAAACATGCTACAGTGACTGGTTATCAGAAAGGACCTCCCAAATAAAAAATATCATCTCCAAAACATGAAAATATGAGATACTTGAATTTTGATGTTTTGACATAAACCAACTTTTGAAACTTTGTGAAATGTTTTTATAGACTTAGTAAAACATGTATAAACTGATATTAAAGTCTACAAACTAAGAATACAATATTTTCACAAATACAATAGAAAATGAAACCTATGAGTATGTATATGAAAATATATTTGTTTCATATCTAAGTAGATAAACCAAATCACAATATGAAACATGTAATTTCATATTTATAAACATGAAAACTAAAACTTGTGTTGTATATATATGTGACTACATATATATACAAGAAAACCAATAAAATGTGTGTGTATAGATAATTGAGCTTAGAGTACTTAACACACATAATATAAATCCTAAACTACATTACCCAAGCAATCTTGATCTCAATTAAGCTTGACTTGGTACACGTTGCGGATGAAGCTTAAACTTGATCTTTAACTTGAATTGTACGTTGCTTCACTCCACAATTCCACCAACCTCCTCTTGATATGATCGTGTAGGCTTAATCCATCCAACCTCCAACAACGTTGTTTGTCTATAATAAATACGAAAACACAAATACTAGACAAACAACATTAGTGGTAAATTGTTTATTAAACATCATCAAAACAAGAAGGCCAACAGTATTTTTATACTTAATGACCTAAGCCCAATTGGGTTGGGATTCATTGGCCTAAAACTCGTTAAATGGTCACTTAAAAAGCCCGTTAAAATAGAAAACAATTACCAAGAATTAAAGAGTGAAGAAAAAAATTATATACATATAACACTAACCATTTTTTATATATATTGTTGTTTCGTATATATGGTTTTGAAAAATAATTTTTGATCAAGAGACTTGAAAGTTATTTAAAACAAAGAGTTAGCATGTTCTTTTCAAAACTTTTAAATTAAATCTCTAAGATTTGACTTGGTGCTGTATTGCTATAATGAAAAAGATTTTCTAAGAAATTTACATTGGAGTTATATATAAAAAGGTTTCCTTGATTATTAACTAGCTTATATTAGAATGTCTAAATATATCAAAGAAAATTAGTTATTTACTGACTTATTTAATTTGGCAAGTTGACCGAATTTTATGGGTATATTCACTGTAAACCCTCACAAGACTACAACTCGTCCACTAGGGTAACCTAGAGGTTTAAATGCTTGTTGTATGCGCTAAATACAACCGCGATTCTTGCGAAAGTGAGTTAGAATTTTCTTTTTCTTTCTTTGCTAGAGGACTAGCAAAAGTTTAGGTATGAGGGTATTTGATAATCACATTTTATTATAATTTTATACCCTCATTATCTATTTTATATGAATAAATATACCACTAATAATTGTTTTTATCTTTAAATTGCAGGACAATGAAGAATAAATCTCAAAACTCTCATCTCTTAACAAAAACCCCTTGAAGAAATGAAGAAATGAAGCAAAGCCCAATGGAGAATTAAGAATTGTCAAATTATCCAAAAGCCCAAAGCTAAAAAGAATAAGAAATAACAAAGCCCAAAAACCCAAGTCCAAGAACAAGAGAAAAGCTCGGATCAGCAACAGGAGAGGAACCCGTATCGATGCCGGCATCGATACCCGTATCGATGCCGGCATCGATACCCGTATCGATGCCGGCATCGATACCCGTATCGATGCCGGCATCGATACCCCTATCGATACCCCTATCGATGCTGGTATCGATACTGACGTACAGTTTGTTATGAATCAAAGGCTAAAATTTGTTGTTTTTGGATAAGATTTCAATCCAATGGCTCTTATTCACCGATGTTTACTATAAATAGGGGTAGAGAGTGAGGGGTTAGAGGTGTAAAAATTTTTTTAACTCCATTTGAAGAGGAGGGCTACTCTTAATTGAGAAGGCCTTCCAAAAATTATAACTTTTGTTGTAATTAATAATAATAAATTTTCTCCACTTTAAATTTATCTTTTCTCCTCTTTGTTGAATGATGAGGATGGAGATGAAGAGCAATTTGAATGTTTGTATTTCTTTTATTTTCCTCTTTTATTTCTTTTTAGTAATTTCTTTATTATTGCTTATTAGTTAGATTTAAATTCATGCTTGTAGTATAGATTTACTTTCTTGTCTTTTTTTTTTAGGATAATTAACTAGAGAACTAATCGGTAGAAGAAGAATTTGATAATCTATGCTTATCTTAAATGGTTTGATAGGTTATGCTTATGAATTCTAGGATTACTATCTTGTTGTTGTTCTTATCATGAATAGTAATTTTAACTTAGATGATAATTTGATAGGTTATACCTTTCTTAAATGGTTTGATAGTCTATGCTTAATAAATCTAAGTTAAAATATGATAAAAAGAGAATAGTTTGTATTTTGTAATTGAGATTAGCTAGTGGATTAAATTCTAGATTTCTCATATCTTAATTTGAATCCTCCACCTTAACTTTCTTGAATTCTCTTTTAATTCTTGATTTTATTCATTCTTCTTTCTTGCCTTGTGATTTCATTTATTCTTTGATTCTTTCTTCTCTCTTCTAAAATTCAATTTATTATCTCTTGCATATATTCACAACAATCACTCATCACAATCATACTTATTCTTTAATCTCATTTTTTGTCACGCACACAATATAAGAACCAATTCTAATAATCTCTTAAAATCACCTTCATCGTGGGATCGATAACTTTTTATACTATAACCTGATCAATTATGCACTTACAATTTTGGTACATAATTATGCGCATCAAAGAGAGAGATGATTTGAAGCTCAAACACCAAGTGATGATCTCTTCTAGCTCTTGTGAAATTGATTTCACAAAATTAAACTCTCAATTGCTCAAAAGCTTTTAAAACAAACTTAAACAAAACATAAACCCTTGTTTTAAACTTTCTTAAACTTGTTTAAAACACTCTTATTATTAGTAGGAGAGCTGAAGGCAATGGGGCATTTATACCCACTCAAAACTTCAGCAAAACTCCCACAAAAACTGACCAAAAAGCCCACAGAAAAACACAGCTGAAACTAGCCATTGGAGTGCAACGGTCAGATCGGCGGTCGATCGTGAAAAACTCGCGGTCGGCCGAATAGACGGTCGACCGTGGCGGTCGATCGCGAAACTCTTTGGACTGCATTCGGTCGACTACCACGGTCGACCGTGAGCCAGCAAAACACAATCTGAGTCTCTGGACTCATGGGCGGTCGACCGCAAACAGACACATGAATTGACAGGTTTAGAAGCAGTTTGATGATTTTAAAATCCTGTTTAAAAATATTAAATAAATTCCAAAAAATATAAAACTTTAAAAAATGATTGTAGACATGATAGTACACATGCTACAAAAACTAATTTTCAAAAAGGACCTCCCAAATAAAAAAGATCATCATTTTACAAAATAATTCAAAACATAAAAATGTGAACATATGAGTTTTGACATTTTAGCTTAACCATGTTTTGAAACAATACAAAATGATTTTATAGACTCGAAGAAAGATGAAAACTATTATTATGAAGTCTATAAATAATGAATATAGTATTTTTACAAATACAATAGAATATGAAACATATGAGTATGAATATGAATATATATTTGTTTCATATCTATGAAATTAAACCAAACCAATTTATCCACGTAAAAACAAATATATATATATATATATATATATACACACACACACACACATAGAAACTAATAACATGTGTGTGTATATGATATTAAGCTTAAAGTACCAACACACATAATATAACACCTAAACTAAATATTACCCAAGCAATCTTGATCTTCAATAAGCTTGACTTGATACACTTACGGATGAAGCTTGAACTTGAATCTTTAACTTGAATTACATTGCTTCAACCACTATATTCACCATCCTCCATTTGATATGATCGTTATGACGCAATCCATCCAACCTTTAACATGTTGTTTGTCTATAATAAATAAGAAAACACAAATACTAGACAAACAACATTAGTGGTAAATTGTTTGTTAAACACCATCAAAACAAGAAGGTCAACAATGATATGTAAGCCACATTTCACATAATATACAAATATTTATGTAGTGTTAGATCATCATCACCACGACATTATACAAGACGGTCCTTGCTGGATCAGGCTCCTCAATGTGCTGCTCTCGAGTTTTGCCATTTGTCAGGTACGTGCATCTGTCAAGGCTGTGACTGTCGTTTTTTTACCGGGTCTGATGGGCTGGCGTATCGGGTTCCTTGTTTGGAGCTGACATTGTCGACATCTTCTCGAAGTTAGCTTGATCTGGTCGGCAACAATTGCCACCACGATATCCGTCACGTGGTTCAACCGGGCGTGGGATAGTGCGTCTCCCAAGTTCGCGTTGGCATCGGGCAGATTCATCATGGGAATCTTGATTGCCATTGGTCCTCATTCAAAAAAGCGGGCCCCACGGTGGGCACCAACTGTTGATGCAAGGGAAAACATTATAGATTGAGTCCTGGGAGATTGGATTCGATGTTGAGGGGGGCCCTCAATCTCCTTAGATGACGGACGGCTATTTGTTGTTGGTTTGGACTGTGTAACACATAGAAAGCGTCAAATTGACGATGGTGGACTGTCCATCAACGCCCCTCCGATGCCTAAGACTATTGATGACGGAAGTCAAAGCAGTAAGCATGTGAATTGGGGTTTTAGAGTATTGGTTCATAGGTCTAAGGTCAATGGTGCCAAACCTTACAGAGTTACGAAGTTGAGATTCATTTACTTGTGGTGGATCGGCGCATTTATACCGATTGACTGAGCAGATTGGTTGGTACGTGTGTCACCATTCTATCGGCCAACGTAGCTAGGGTGGAACAAGGAATGCAGCATGTAAGAGCCGTTGCGTAATGGGAGAGGTCTGGCTTCCACCAAACTACAACATATACATCAAAATAAAAATAAAAATAATAATAGTAATACTAATCTTAGGGCCGCTACACATCTTGAAGATGATATAATACAACTATAGACATTGCAACTTTTTCACTGTCTACGTAGACTTTCGTCCTAGTCCTCCTTATGGCCCTGTTGAAGCCTGACCAACCCATAGTAAGAGCCGGTCGGTCCCTTCGCTAGGAGCGAAGAATGAGTACCCTTCTCCGCCACCGCCCCCTTCTCCAACACCGCGATAAGATCACAGTTCTGTATCGTGCTGAGACGATGAGCGACAACGATGCTAGTCCTCCCCACCATCACTCTCTCGAGTGCTTCCTGCACTAGCTTCTCTGAATGGCTGTCAAGCGCGCTTGTCGCCTCGTCTAACAGTAGTATTGCAGGGTTCTTCAGTATTGCCCGTGCTATTGCTATCCGCTGCTTTTGCCCTCCGGAGAGCTGCACCCCTCGGTCCCCACACCATGTGTCGTATCCATCCTTCAGGACACTGATGAAGTCGTGCGCGTTGGCAGCTCTAGCGGCGCCTTCGATCTCAGCTTCCGTGGCTCCCTCTGCTCCGTACATAATGTTTTCTCTGATGCTCCCGGAGAAGAGTGTTGGCTCCTGTTACGGAAGAAAAGTAGAAGAAAGTATTTCAATTTAGCCTTCTGAATGTCATCTCACTTCAGCATCAGAACGAGATTATAGGCTTATTTGCTTCACAAAGTATCCACATTTTCTATAAAATTGCCAACTTCACAGTTGGAGAAGGAAAAAAAACAGTTATATAGGTTACCGTTCATAGTTCTATTTTGCAACAAGAACAGAGAATTATACCTGTCCAACAAGAGCAATGTGTCGCCTCAATGAGCGGAGGTGATAAGATTTTATGTCCTTCCCGTCAATCTTGATCGTTCCTTGTAGGGGGTCGTAAAACCGCTCGACGAGCCCAATGATGGTGGACTTACCCGACCCGCTTTGCCCTACCAGTGCTGTTGACTTGCCGGCATCAATGTTGAGAGAGAATCCTTTGAATACTATCACATCAGGACGTGCAGGATATGCAAAATCCACGTTTCGGATCTCTACACTTCCATCTAGTTTATCGGGGTGGTCGCCTTCAGGGTCTTCAGGCTCAATGCTAGTGACACGGTCGAGGACAGCAAAAACTGAGCCCACTGCATCGGCACCTTTGGCAAGGTCAGTTGTCATGCTTCCAGCATCAGCAATCACACGCCCGGTGCTGACAAGGATCATGAAAGTCTCGAAGAGGGACTTGGAGTTAATGTAGCCTTGTGATACGAGCTTGCCTCCGTACCTGTAAGAATTCAGTCAAGATTTTCAGTGTTCTCTTCGGCTCAGTACTGAATCAGGCTGTGCAAACACCAAGTAAAATTGAACAGTTTTAGCAAAAGATCAGTACCAGAAGTCAAGGGCCCAGGTACAGGTCGTTAGGCCTTGCGAAGTTCCGAGCCCAATGCCAGCGTACCATGACTGACGTATGCTCTCACGGTGAGGCCCCTCTTGGGCACTTTCAAAGAGGCGAAGGATACGTTCTTGCGAAGAAAACGCAGTGACAGTGCGCAGGTTGGAGACAGCCTCAGCAGCGAGCTTGCTGCTCTCAGCCTGGGACTTGATGCCTTTCATGGACATGCTCTTGAGGAGGACCTTGCGGGCGTAAAAGCAAATTATGATGAGAGGCTGGACAGCGACCATGACGACAGCCAGGCGCCAGGCAATAACTAGACCCATGGTGCATGCTATGGTCACTGCTGAGATTGTCTGGATGACGAGAGCCATTCTATCACCCACCAATGATCTAACCTGCAATAACATTTATTATTTAAGCTATGAATTGATTTCCATCTTGAGCTTAACTTCCTGTCTACCACTGTGTTTCAGCACCCCTGAGTTACACGTTTCGTGATTACGATAGGAACGGCGTATGGTATCAGCTATGGTAAGTTATGGAGTGAAAATGAGATTTTTCGATACTGACCACATTGGCATCCTTGGCGAGTTGAGAGCAGATGGCTCCAGTTGAGTTCTCATCCTGATCAAACCAGCCTACTTCAAAAGTTAGCATCTTGGACAGCATCCGCTCCCTCAACCGCTTTGTCAGGTACTCTCCCATTGCCCCAAAGCTGTAGTGCTGCCCAATGTTGATAAAAAAGGTAAAAATTGAGAGAAAGGTAAAAATGAGGGCATAAGTCGTCGTCTTGCTCTTGATCTCGCTATGATCTTTCAGAAAATAGACGGATATCATACTCCCCATTGCGTATGCATATACGGGTTGTATTCCTCCAAATACTACTGCACTCGAGCAACCCAACAATGCTTGCTTCCATTCTGGCGCATTTAGCATCAACAATCGTCTGAATGATGGCACTGGAAGCTTTGTTTCTGGTTCACCAGACTCCACAGCATCTCCTACTGCCCCTGCTGCAGCATTGAAAGACCTGTATCCAAACACAATTACAAATACGATTTATGATGAAATACCTAGTGCCATATTTCGTTTGAGGTGAAATAAGGGTATATGATATTGATAATAAGACCAAAATAAATAGCTGTAGATACTGTGGAAACTGATTGAGCATTTTAATTTCTGTAATCAGTACCTTGCCGAGCTAGACCTACTAGCGTGCGAGAACCTCCTGCTCATGCTATTGGAGGAGGACGCCATTGCTAAGGCAGCGGACGCTGATGATGGTGATTCTGCTCGTTCTTCTCTTGCTGTTGCAGTCTGTTGTAGACGAACAAGCGAAGCATAAATGCCATCCTCATTAGATATCATCTCATCGTGCGAGCCTGTTTCTGTGACTTGGCCAGCCTGAACCACTGCGATGACATCAGCATTGCGGATGGTGGAGAGGCGGTGGGCAATCACAACTGTGGTTCTTCCTACCGAGGCTAGGTCAAGTGCATCTTGGACAACTCGCTCTGATCCCGAGTCAAGAGCGCTAGTAGCTTCATCGAGCAGAAGGATCTTCGGCGATTTAAGTATGGCTCTTGCAATAGCTATTCTTTGCTTCTGACCTCCTGACATCTGAACACCCCTTTCCCCTACCTATTTGTAAATGCATTCGCAATTTATTGCTATTATAAACATGAATAAATATGGGATACTAATATTATGCTTTTAGCAGATTCGATGCAAATTGTATGTAATTCTAAAACCAGTTAGGCATTGTTGCATCCATACAAGAAAGAAGTTTCAGTTTACAGATTCACAATATTATCCACACAATTGGCTCAAATAGTCCATCTTTTTTCTATACTGAGAAAAAGACTCTGATTAATTTATAGATTCGAAATTTGTGAGGTACTATCTTCGGGCCTTTACTTGATTCAATGCAATCAGATTGTTATTCTAGTCCCTGACCTAGTTAAAATATACTGTCAGTTCATTTTCATAGTTTTATAACAGGTCGAATCCTAGGAACTAGTAATTTCTATTCATTTCAAAGGTGCATTTTTTTCACGCTTGAATCAAACCAAAAATTGATTACTTGGAGTTAAATCTAATATACTGCCTGCAGAAATTCAACAAACTAACAACATAGATCTTCTTGAAATTGAATAAATCTTGTGCTTTTTAGCCAATCTTGATTGAAATTGTATGTTTCTGAAACCAGCAAGACATTACTGCATCATTTCAAGAAACTGGTTTCAGTTTATATATTCACATGTTATCACTAAATTAGCTTGAATAATATTATTTTCTTAGAAAGATTTGATTGGAATTTTTTAGATGCTATCTTCAAGCCTTTACTTAGTGTTGGGCGCAGAGTCACGTCCTCACGCCACGGAAGCGATATAGCCTGAGAGAAAACCCTGACTTTTGTTTTCACAAAAACTCAAGTCAACCTCTATATTCCCGTTTCACAAAGTAAACAAGAACATAAGTGAAATATCTTAACAAAGTGAGATATACACTCTTCCTCTCAGCAGTTCTAGGACTGAATGTCGAGGGAACCTACAAGCAATAGCCAACACACAGTAAAGACACGTGATTTACATGGTTTGACAAACTTGCCTATGTCCACGAGAGGGGGTAATGGGGGATTTACTATGAGGAGAATAACAACTTCCACTTGTACAACTCACAAGCGCTCTCTCTCTCTCTCTCTCTCTCTCTCTCTCTCTCTCTCTCTCTCTCTGATTTTTTTCTCTCTTCAAAAATCTCTCAAAATTCCCACACCCTTTTTCTTTTCTTCCCCGCAACTTCTCTCTTCCTCACCTCTCCTATTTATAGGCAAAGAAGAGGGGATAAGAGAGTATGGGTGAGCATGGGGAAAGCATAGGGGGAGCATGGGGGGTTCCACCATCTCGTGTCCCCCCATCCCATGTTCCCACGTTCACAATTCTTCACATCGTTCATCCCACGTTCCCACGTTCACAATTCTTTACCTCGTTCATCATTTGATAAATCTTAAATTTTGGACGAACACCAGAAGAACACCACGAACATCACCAGAGAGATCTGAGATACCAAACCAGGCCAAAATCAGGTCAAACCAGCTGCACCATTATACCATAGTTGCCTACGTACCCTCTGACCGGGATCAAGCTAACCGTAGTTCTATAATTATTCTTCAACATAGTCTCCACCTCACCCCATCATCGCCCCGAAGGGCCATGCCCTCTTAGGCAGATTAACACGGGCTGATATGAAGCAAGTCCAAACAATGCTAGAACTTAATTACCTATCACCATCTTGGTCAACATGTCTGTGGGATTCTCATTCGTGTGCACCTTCATAAGATAAATATCACTTTCTTCTATGACATCCCACACAAAATGATACCTGATATCGATATGCTTGGTACGAGCATGGTGAACTTGATTCTTAGCTAAATGAATCATACTCTGACTATCGTACCACAAGTTCACAGTATGCTGCTCAATCCCAAATTATGTAGAAGATCCCACAACCACAATGCTTCCTTCACTCCCTCCGTCATGACCATGTACTCGACTTCTGTAGTAGAAAATATCACTGTAGCCCGTAACATCGATCGCCAACTAACTGGAGCTCCATGTATGCTGAATACATAACTAGTAGTAGATCGTCGTCTATCTAGATCACTCGCGTAATCCGAGTTCACAAACCCGTCAATCTGACATATATTTCCACCAAAGCATAAACCTGTATCAGCGGTATCCTTGAAGTACCTTAGGACCCACTTCACCGCTTCCCAGTGCGTCTTTTCCGGATTCGCTATGAACCCGCTGACCACACTAACCGCCTATGAAATATCTAGGCATGTATACACCATTGTGTGCATCAAACTGCCAACTATACTAGCATAGGGGACACGCTCCATGTGTGCCTTCTCTTTCGCTATAGTGGGAGATTGTTTACTTGAGAGCCTAAAATGTAAAGTTAATGGAGTCACCATCGATTTAGCACTTTACATCCCGAACCTTGCGATCACCTGCTCTATGTAGCCATTCTGACCCAAGAATAATCGTCGATTTGCCCACTCTCTTCTAATCTCCATACTCGGTATTTTTCTTACAGCACCTATATCTTTCATCTCGAACTCTTTATCAAGTTGAGATTTTAGCCTATCTATCTTCATCCTGTTCTTAGAATCAATATGCATATCATCCACATACAAAAGGAGATAGATATAATCACCTCCACGAAGTTTTCGAATGTAAACATAACAATCATTATCGCTTCGGGAAAATCTATGCTTTAGCATAAAGGAGACAAATTGCTTGTACCACTGCCGAGGAGATTGCTTTAATCCATAGAGTGACTTCCTCAAACGACACACATGATTCTCCTTGTCCTCGACCTTATAGCCCTCAGGTTGATACATATAGATCTCTTCATCCAAGTCTCCATACAAGAAGGCTGTTTTAACATCGAGTTGTTTTAGCTCAAGATCATCATGAGCAACAACACTCAATAGCACCCGAATAGAAGTGCGTTTCACCATCGGAGAAAAGATCCCATTGTAATCCACACCCTCTCTTTGTGTAAATCCCTTAGCCACTAGCCTCGCCTTGTACCTTGTACCACCGAGCTCTGAATGATCCTCCTTTCTTTTATACACCCACTTATAACCAATAGATTTTTTTTTATACGAGCAATGGGACCACCTCTCATGTTTGATTCTTCCGAAGAGATTCTATCTCCTCCTTCATTACCGCCAACCAACTCTCGCTATCTCTATCTCGAATAGCTTCCTTGAAGGAGACCGGCTCATTATCCTCCACCGAGAGTGTGTATTCAACCAAATTCACATGTCCATAGCGCTTTAGGGGTTGATCAGTCCTCAGCTTCTGTACCTACTTGTATGCTTATCTTGGCCTAGTGGAAGCCAAACTATCCTCGAGCTGCTATTGTTGTAGTGCCTGTGTATTTTCTTGCTGAATCTCCTCCTATTCAAGCTCATCATCTTCATGATCCTGCTCTTGAACACGACTAGAACCTGGTTGGTCTTTAGGTTCTATCTCAATAACCTGGGATTTTGAAGTCCCAACAGTCCCAAAATCATCACCCTTGGGCACCCTAGCAATTATGGATCTCTCATCAAAAGAAACATCCCTACTGATCACGAACTTTGAATCTTCTGTATACCAAAGGTGATAGCTTTTTACACCATTTGCATACTCTAAGAATATAGCCTTCTTAGCTCTCACGTCAAGCTTTTCCTCATTAACGTAATAATAGGTGGTACACCCAAAAATCCGGAACCTCTCATAATCTGCATGCTCTCCTGATCACACCCTAAAGAATGTATCATAATCCAATGTAGAATGTGGAGACCGATTCACTATGTAGCAAGCTGTAGCAATCGACTCTGCCCACTATTCTTTGCCCAAACCAGCATATGATCGCATACTCACTGTTTTCTTCCATAATGTACGGTTTAGCCTCTTTGCGACTCTATTTTGCTGTGGTGTTGATCTAACTGTCTAATATCTAGCAATGCCCTCCTGATCACAGAACTCCATGAATGCACCATCTGTATACTCTATACCGTTGTCAGATCTTAGTGTCTTTAATTTCTTCTTTGTCCTATTCTCAACCATCACCTTCCACTTCTTGAATGTCTCAAATACCTCATTCTTATGCTTCAGAAAATAAATCTAAGCATACCTAGAAGGATCGTCTATGAACGAGACAAAGTATCTAGAGCCACCCTTGGAAGTTGTCTGAGTCGGACCCCAAACATCCGTGTGCATATAATCTAGTATCCCTCTACTCTTGTGATTGCTTCTAAAAAATTAAACCATGTGCATCTTCCAATAAACACAATCCTCACAAAAATCCATACAAGGTTTTTTCAGATTCTTCAGCAAACCCTTTTTACCAAGCAGATCTAGACCATTTTCTGATATATGCCCAAGCCGCCTATGTCATAACCGTGTGTGCTCACATGGGTCTCCACCACTTCTATCAATTCCAACTGCTATATTCAATGTCACAGTCGTATCCAAGAGAGTATATAGATTACCGTAACGAATACCCTTCATCACTACTAGAGAACCTTGAACAACCTTCTTCACTCCGTCCTCTGTAACAATCTTGCAATCACCGGAGTCCAAAACACCAACTAAGATAAGATTCTTCCGCAAGTCGGGAACATGCATTACATCCGTCAGGGTTCTGACCACTTCATCATGCATCTTGATTTTGATATCACCTAGACCCATCATTTTACAAGTATGGTTATTTCCCATCAGTATAGTTCCACCGTTAATGTTTTTGTAGGTAGTAAACCACTTCATATTTGGACACATATGATAAGAGCAACCCGAATCAAGAATCCACTTCCCGAAGATATCCTCACCACCCGTGACGACATAGCATTCTTTCTCGCTCATTTCCTCTGAAACGTAGCTCGCCTCTTCCTTACCTTTTCTCTTCTCAGTCTTATTGTTGTTCTTCGTCCCACCTACTCTCTTGTTAAGACAGTCAACTTTGAAATGCCCTAGCTCACCGCATTTGAAACACGCCCTTCCCACAAGAGATCTCAATTTCGATCTAGACTTTCCTCCCTTACATTTTCCTCGCTCATTGCCCCTTCCTCTAGCATATAGTCCCTGAGCTTGCTCCTTGTTTCCATTAGTGATCATGTCACTAGTTGTAATTTTTCGAAGATCATCCGTCAGAAGGACCGTTCTAGTCTCATCCCTCGTCAAATTATCTCCTACAAGCATCAATGTTTGTACCGTGTTCTCATAAGATTTCGGTAAAGAAAGAAGTAGCAAAAGTACTTGATCCTCAACTTTTACTATCACATCAATGTCCTTCAAATCCGATATGATCCTATCGAACTTGTTGATGTACTTCCGGATTAACGAGCCTTCCTCCATTTTGCAAGTATACAATTTGGATTTTAAGTAGATCCGATTTATTAGACTCTTCGTTATGAAGATACTCTCTAACTTTGACCACATGCTCGCAGCCGTTTCCTCTCCATCTACTAAGAAAACAACATCTCTCTCAAGGCATAGAATAATCAACGCTCATGCTTCGAGATATAACTCTTCCCAATCCTCATCGAACATATCTTTGTGTTTCTTCTCTTTTCCTACTAAAGTCTTGTGCAATTTTTGCGAAATCAGTGAATTTTTCATATGCATCCTCTAATAGAAAAATCATTTTTCCCATTGAATTTTTCAATCTCGTACTTTTTTAACTTTAACTGTTTTACTTGTAGACATCATTCTCCGCTTGTATTAATAAAATCGTTTCTCTCAGGAATTTTAACAAATACCTTGTGTTTACTTACTACACAGTAATCAAGCATCACCTCTGATAAAAAATTTTAACACCTCAAATCTAAATAAAGGGCTCTGATACCAATTATTGGACGCAGAGTCACGCCCTCACGCCGCGGAAGCGATATAACCTAAGAGAAAGCTCTGGTTTTTGTTTTCACAAAAGCTCAAGTCAACCTCTATATTCTCGTTTCACAAAAGAAACAAGAACATAAGTGAAACATCTCAACAAAGTGAGATATACACTCTTCCTCTCAGCAGTTCTAGGACTGAATGTCGAGAAAACCTACAAGCAATAGCCAACACATAGTAAAGACACGTGATTTACGTGGTTTGTTAAATTTACCTACGTCCACGGGAGGGGGTAAGGGGGGATTTCACTATGAGGAGAATAACGACTTCCACTTGTACAACTCACAATCTCTCTCTCTCTCTCTCTCTCTCTCTCTCTCTCTCTCTCTCTTATACAACTCACAATCTCTCTCTCTCTCTCTCTCTCTCTCTCTCTCTCTCTCTCTCTGATATTTTCTCTCTTCAAAAATCTCTCAAAATTCCCATACCATTTTTTTTTCTTCCCCGCAACTTCTCTCTTCCTCACCTCTCCTATTTATAGGCAAACAAGTGGGGACAAGAGAGTATGAGTGAGCATGGGGGAGCATGGAATTAATTTAATAAGTTTAATAAGTTGATTGCCTGGAATTAATTTAATAAGTTTACAAATTCAACAAGCCAACAATCAAGTATCTTCTTTAGATTGAATAACTATTATAGTTTTAGCTAGATGCAAAACATAAGCAATCATGAAACCAGTCGGCCATTGTTGCGTCATCTGAAGAAACTAGTCTCAGTTATTGTTTCATAACAGTTACTGCCAATAAATGGATTGGCTTTCTTGTACTTAGAAAGATTTGCTTCACTAGTCCAATTAACAAATTGTAAGATATTATCTACAGGCCTTTAATTTGTTCAATGGTTTAAGATTGTTATCTAGTCCCTTATTCTAGTTAAAACATGCTACCAGTTCAGTTTGATTAGTTTATAACATGGTCAAATTAACCCTAGGAACTAGCAGGTTTCCATTCCGTTGAAAGATGAAACAGAATACTTCCCACAATCTTTTTCAAGTTGAATCGAATCAATAGTTGATAACCATGATTTAATTTTAATAAATCTACATGCATAGATTCAGCAAACCAACAATATAAAGATTCTGCTTTAAATTGTATGTATATATGTCAGTACGCTAAGTACCCTAAGCCATAGACCTAAGACTTTTGACTAAATTGATGTTGCATGATCGAAGAGCGCACGGGCAATAAAAGTATAACACTTCAAGCAAAGACAAGATAAGAAAACCATAACTAAAACTGAAGTAGTGCTGTTATTGCTTTCTATCCTTTTCAAGGTTCTTTTTTCAAGCACGCTGCCCTCATTGTTGTTGCAGCAGTCGTAAATAACAGTGGGGACAACTGATGTAGCTTATTTGCTTAACACAGCAGCAGGTTCCCACTTTCTTCAGGCCCCCACATTGCTATGCAAAATGCACTCAATAGCAGGTTCCCACCTTCTATTGATTTGAACACTAGCGGCCACAGCGAAAAGAGAGGAAAAAAGATCCAGTAGTTGACCCTCAAAAAAAAAAATCATATGGGGTGAGAGGGGTTGAAGTTATTTGGCCTAGCACAAGCCTTGACGCACACGTAATTACCAGTGCAGTTGTTTTTACACCAGATTCTATCGGCAAGTCCGCATTGAATGCAAGCGGTCTGCGCTGATGCTCGATCAGACTGCACTGGATATAGTGATGTATACATCAAGATTCATGATAGATAAGATATCTTTATTTTCTATCTCCCGATATAATTTTCTATGGGAGGCCCTCCATAGATTATTCTTCAAAATGATGTGCTAACTTGCAGCATTTTGTGCAATATTGATGGAATCAATCATATGAGCCCAGGTACCAAAAGCAATACCCACAAAAAGCATAGTGGACAGTTTGGTTTCATGTTCTGTTATTTGAAATGGCTACATGCGTTATAAATCAATGTCACTTCCTGTTCTATCTTTTTATGCAAGAGGCATTGATTGGTTTCCTTTTGATAATGAATGCGATAAGTGTAGAATAAGGTAAGAATACATGTAAATGTTGACCTAGGTTGATGTTGGACAAGTTCTGCTAAGACTAATGTCTGATGGTTTCCAGATGATTGATATTAATTAGGTTAAAAGTACTAAATCACCGAAGAAAAAGAAAGGGGTAAGCCCAATCATTTTCTTCAATTCATTTTTTAGTTACATGTGTTAGCTTTTAAGTCGCAAATTATAGAGAATTCATGTGCATAGTTTTACTTGTTATATCCAATTCATGATTAAGATCTTCTATTTCCTCTGATATTTTGATTTTCTTCATTGCCTCTGACATAATTATAATACTGCTACTGAAAAACTAAAACATATGAATGCTTATATTTCTAGCATCGTCTTAAAATTCGAGGTAATGTCCAGTAGTCAAGACTCTATACTGCTAAGTAATATAACTACTAAGCTTTTTACCGTACTGAAATCAGTCAAATCCCTGTATGTATAAACCTTACAGTGTCTAGGAATTCTATGTGCTTGAATAATATACCTGTTTCATTACTATGGATTTTTCGAGTCTCATTACAGGTTTAGCTTCAGTTTGAAGCAAACTTTCCTCTGAAAGCTTTGCCTGACAATGTGCCACATTTTGTGCAGAAACTTTCATTTGTTAGATTGCATCACAAGAAACCAATTCATGATCACCAATGTGAAGTTTGTTAGAATACCATATTTAAATTAGTAACAAGAACAAAGATGACAACACACGGAGACATCAGGAAACTCACCTGCGTATCATACCCCATAGGTAACTGAGAGATGAAGTTATGCGCGTTTGAAGCCTTGGCAGCTGCCACCACCTCCTCCGTTGTTGCATCTTCTTTTCCAAACAATATGTTCTCCTTTATCGACGTCGCAAAAAGCGCTGGCTCTTGACTCACAAGCCCCATCTGTGATCTCAACCATTTAAGCTGAAGTTTCCTAATATCAACACCATCAAGAAATATCTCGCCTTGTTCAGGATCGTAGAATCTCTCTAGAAGCGCAATCACTGTCGATTTCCCTGACCCGCTACTTCCAACCAATGCAACTGTCTTCCCCGTAGGGACCCTAAGATTGAACCCTCTCAATATCAGGCTCTCTGGTCGTGACGGGTATGCAAATTGGACCTGCTTGAATTCTACATCTCCTTCAACATTTCCGAGGGTTTCACCTTCAGTGCTCTCAGAGTCGATCTTTGGTACTCTCTTCATCACCTCCAGTATCCTCTCCCCAGCTGACGTTGCCTCCGATATGTACTTCACATTCGAGAGCCCCGAACCAAGCGATCTGCATGATTTCAGTCAATAAATATTCAAAACCCTTGAGATTTGGCTATAAAGAAAACCGCAATGAAGACAAATCAAAAGCATATCATTACAGGCCGCCGACAATGATGGAAGCTCCAACAGCGAATATGTCACCGCCTTTGCAACCATGGTAATAACGAGTCGACTACCATACCACGCATAAACGCCCAGAATGGCGAACGTGCGATGCCGTTGCTGCCAATGGCGAGACCTTTGAACAGGCCTTGACGAAGCCCGAGCTTGACAGAGTCTTCAAGCGCTGCCGAAAATGCTGCCATCGTCTTTTTCTCGCCTACAAACGAATAGACCGTGCGTATCGACGACACAGCTTGTTCAACAATTGTGCCCGCATTGTTGTACTCTTCTCTTATTTTTCTCGCGAGGCTCATCAGTATTCGGCCGTACATTAAGCCTGGAATTATGAGGAGAACAACTGTAGGGAATGCTACAATTGCTAGTCTCCATACTAGTATGAAGCCCACAACGTAACTTCCAAAGAATGTGGAGCAATTCATCAGAAAGTTGGGTACCTGTAGTTCCACAAATGCTCAAGAAACCTGTTCGATGCGATTTTTCAATATTGTTTACGTGTTGAATGAACATATAGCTTGCCTTTTCACTGAGGACATCTTGGATGACGAGACTGTCGCTGGAGACGCTGGTGATCACGTCGGAAGTTGAGGCCCCTTTGAGATCGAAATACTCGATATCTTGCCGAAGAACGGCCTTTAGGTACCGGGCCCTCATTCTCGACGCCTGCCGCTCTGCTGTTCTCGTCCAACAGTATCCTTCTGTAATATCACCAGCCCGATCGGCATAAGAAGAAAAAAGAAGATCACCGGTCGGAAAAAAAATTTGTAAGAAGAGATCGTGAGTTACCTAGGAAACCACATATCCATTGTGCACACGCCAAGTAGAGCAAATTCACTGAATTCTACATCAAAGGAACAACACATTAATGCTAACATTATAATCTCACACATATACAGGTACGAATACTGATACAGATGATATTATTTACCTCACTTATTTTGTGGGTGAAGTCGGAGACTGCAAATGGGCCATTACCTAAATTGTTCATAAGTTTGCTGGTGACAAGAAGCATGACAGGCAAAGAGAACCCATCGCCGAGAGCACCTACGACGCCGAAGATCATCAGAAACCTGTCAGAGGTGTCTGCATGCATGAATATTGTCCTAATGCTGCTGCTCCTTTTCTTCTTCTTCTTCCTGTTGATTTCCTTGTTAGTACTTCGTTCTGCTTCATTCTCCATTTTTTTCTTCTTCACAAACTTGTGAATTTGTTCACATAGATATTGGCAGCTGGATTATATATGTAGAGATGCGCAGAGGTGCGTGGGCACATCACCAACCAGATTTGAGCGTGGGCGAAGTAGAATTTCTGTAGCAATTATTAATACCTCTCTGTCAACTTTATTCTCTCAAAAAAATAATGAAATTGCAGACTTTGTGTAAATGGAAGATATTATTGATGCCTAGGTGTAGCTAGGACTATGCACCACGTTTTAGAGACATTTATTTGAGGGGTGAGTTTTGCATATAGATTCCAATGGTATTTGTTATTACCAACAAAGCTATTGTTTCCTTTTGTAGAGTGATTGGTAGCTAGTTTGATTTACTATTAGCTGCCAACCGCCGTGGAGACCTTTGCAGGACCAATTTAGTTGAAATGTTTTCTTCTAAAATTGGAAGTTACCACATTAATTATATCAAGCAATTGTGTCTCTACTTATAGTAAATTTAGAAGTACACGCAGCCTCAGTTACAAATTGATTGTCTGTAGATCTTGCATCCTGTAGATGATTCAACCATGAGTAACATGACATTATTTCATTCATTCATAGATCAGGATATATAAGCATTTCGATCGGTTTCTAATAATATCGCACCGAATATAAATCCAAATGCTAACATGAAAAAGTAGATGTAACCCTCCAACTTATAACCGAAATAACTTATGCTGTTAATTGTAGAAATGCTCCTGCAATGTGACATCGTGTGTCACTTATTATCCCTTAAAATTGATATTTAGTCCCTCTGGAACTGAAATGAACGCCGCTTTTGCTCTCCACGTCTCCTTTCCTTCAGAAGATGCATCATTTCTGAAGGGGTTTGTGGAGGGTGGAAGTGTGATAATGTCAAGGGTTTGTCTGCTGGTACCAAAACTTTAAGAAATAATAAGAAGTGATGCAACGCAGTGCTGTGCATAAGGTCTATGTGCGACTAACCCTTATGCATAACTTGATTGCAACATATCACTAATAACACTCTGACTTTTGAATAGTGCATGAACAATAAGGAATACCTTCCACTAAAATTAATTTCCTTCTGCAAATAAAAGAGTGCATGGATCTACATGCAAAAAAAACGCCCTAGAGCCTATACGGTGCAGCTAGCTCCTACCCATAAAAAAATAGACAAAATTCACCTATCGTCAATCTCTTGAGGCATTAAATAACATTTTCAGATGTTGAGGTTCTCAATAAACTGGATTAGTTTCTGGGCGTTGCTGGAATCGGTGATGAACATGTGGAGGAGGAGGAAATGCAGGGTTGACTTTAACTCCCGCTGTGTTATCGTCATTAGTGACGACTACCGAGGATCCTCGGTGTGTGAGAGTAGGCTTTATCTTTTATTTATTTTTAGGGTTAATAGTTTCCAATGTACTTTCTTAATTTATTGCAGAAAGACCCCCTAGATTCCTAACCCTGGTAGCCTTTTCATTATTTTAGATTAGTCAAATGTAATGATCATTACGCAAGTTTTATATATAGTAAGTGAATCGGTTTATGAAGCTCTCATACGTTTCTTCAGTTTTATAAAGTATGATCTTAATTAATTAACCTGAAACTAACGGAGTTGAGAATCTGGGGTTCTATATATCTACAATAATAGAAGTACATGCATGGGGTTACCATCAGCATCTAATTCCTTCATTTTTATTAAACTGCTTTTTTTAAAAGTCTAACCCCATGTGATACATTGTTTAGTCTAATTAATGTCGCTAGCTAGTATAAAGTTATATTCAATCTCTTTTTTTTATATGCTTTGAAACAACTAGATTGAAAAGGATGTTTTTGGTGTCAGCAATGAGCTAGTTTGATTATTCTCTACGGAGTAGTGAGAAGAGGATGAAAGAATTAATGGGATTAAAGTCAGGGGCATGCAGCAAAAGATTATCTTTAGGAATTGGAAAGTTTGTGCATAATCATTCTTGTAAGTTATAAGCCATAGTCCTCGCTAAAAAAGATGGCACTACGAGAGAAAAGTTAGTAGGATTGAGAATTAAGGCAAATGTGATTTAGTGTACTGATTAAGATTTTATTTCTTTGTGCCTAAAAGGAGTTTTATCTTCAAAAATGACCACTTGGGTGTCTAGTCAAATAATAAAAAATAGTTATCCTTCAGCCCACCGATCCACTTGAAAAAGGAAAAAAAGAAGAAGAAAAAGTCGTACTCTAGATAAGTTATACTGGTGACCGTAATAGTTTTTGTACTGCTTGTATATGTGCAGTATTAGGTTTATGCTGATTTCAACCGCATATATTTCTTCAGTATTATATTTCTACTCTCATCTATATGATATTTTTTCTCTCATCGTGTTAAAAAGAAAATTTCACACATAAGCATTCAATCAGGACTTCAAACTAAAAAGGACAGCCCAAAGCTAATTAACTGTGAAGAAATACAGGAAACAGCAAAGAATCAGCCAGGCAGACTGGCGGGGGACCGCGAACGTGCACAAGTGCAAGTAGGATTCGGAGCTGATGGCGGTCGACCGCCGCGGTCGACCGTGGATGACTGTAATCGATTTTTCTCTCGGGTTTGTGGTTCGGTCGACCACCGCGGTCGACCGCGAAACCTGCGCGGTCGACCGTCACTGATTTCTGGGCTGGGCTTCGGATTTTGACCCATTTCGTTTCTGAGTTATATATAACTCAAAACCTGATTGTTCTGTTTGCGGAAAAAGTTGCTGTATTCATTGCTGCATTCATTACAACTTCAATCGTTACAATG